AGTCGCCGGCGGGGTCCGGGCGGGATCGGGATCGGAGCCGGGATCGGAGCCGGGATCGGAGCCGGGATCGGAGCCGGGATCGGAGCCGGGACTCCGCTCCCAACACGCTCCACAGTTCGACCGCGGCGGACCCGGGCCCGCGGGTTCCGCACGGGAACATCTGCCTGCGGCTGGAGCGCTGTATTTACTTAAGAGTGCCGCCCTGGTTTAGCTCGAGGTGTGTTACGGGCGCTGAGTCAGTTACTCCAGGACGAGAGGTTTGCTTAATGTTTCCAGCTCTGCTGGTTTTGCAACCGAGAGGGGCCAGAGTTTGTTGTTTTTAAACTTAGATTTGGATATTACATAACTCGGGGAGCTGGAGCGCTGAGCACGTGCCCGGGCCTTAATTCCTTTTGCCCAAGGATATGTCAACCTTGTTGGCAAAGTTGTGGGTGAGAAGTCCAGAAGACATCTGCGCCTTGTAACCAGACGTTGTATGGTATACAGCTCCTAATGTCTTATTTGTCCATAGCAAAGGGGCAGATTTTGCCTTCTACATAGACAGGTAAAGCTTACACATCTTTAAAAAACCTAAAAGTTAAGCCCTTTGCTTGTGGGCAAAAAGTAACAATTATTACCTAACTCATTGCAGTAATGAGTGCACACGTTATTGCTCCACCCTCTGTCAAATATGGCTCGTGGCTCAATTTTCATCCGCTGTTAAAATGCAGAAGTGCCCACAGTCACCTGTGAATAGAAATAGTGATGAAACCTTTTGTTAAGTGATCTGGCCTGGGATCTTGTCTGGATCATGAACTGTCCTTCAGCTGAGCTGCTTTTAGAAAATTTCTTATCATAAATACAGTAGGTCAGAATTCATCTTTAGCTATGCCAGTCTCACATTAGGCTACTGACGGGGTAGGGTATGCTGTGCACAAACTCTTAACCAGAACTTCAGGTTGAACTTTGAAAAAAAGTGTTCTATGAAGTCAGGGCAGTAAAAACTATAGAAAGAGCAGGGCCAGTACACTTGAAAGTTGTAATGTCCTCAGGACAGGTTGCAGATGTTGGCTGATAGAGATGCTCAACTTTATGAGAATATATTTTTATTGTTTTCTTGTATTGAACTTTAAATAGAATATTAGAAGCAAAGATTTTTTTATAAGATATCATAATTTATACCATATAAGAGGAACTTACCCCACATCCAGCAGGAGGGCTTGTGATTTTTCAAGAAGCTTTGGGCTTAGATTTTAAACCTCTCAGGTCTGTACCAAAAAGATGTGGTTTGTGATTACAACCATCTAAGCCACTGTCTGTCAGCTAAGTGCATTCCCTTACCCTGTGCTAATAGCCTGCCTAATGGGAAAATACTACACGTTTGTTTAAGTCACAGGGAGCCAAGGCCACACTGAGGCTTGCAGGTTGCATGGCTGAAGTGGTGAATGCCATTGCCCTAGTTCCCTGCCCACCTTCTTTTTGCTGGCTTTTGTGTATGCAGCTGTGGCAGAAATGTAGAAATACATCCGTGCTGAAGTTAGAAGTTTGCAGATCAGCACCTGATAGTAAACTGAAACTTGCACCTCTTTGCACAAGGTCTGTCAGGCTCAGCTGATGGAGGACATAACCTGAGTGCTTTGGATTATGTAGTCATAACTTCATTTTCTTGCAAGATTCACTGCCCTTAACATCTGTTTTGTGTTTCATCAAGTCTTGCTAAGAATGTGAATGATGGTCATCTCATCAGGACTTCTACATACATTTCCCTTTACTTTCTCTTCTCTTTTTATTTCTCCGCTTCTGTTTTGCTTTGCTGAACCTGTCTCATCCTGCCCTAGCACTAGCACTTTGTCAAGTGTTTTCCTGTATCTGCTTAACAGTGCTTTCTTTAAGCCCGTGCTCATTTCCAGCTGCCCGTTTCTCCTGGTCAGGTCCCTCTCCATCTCCCATCCTGGGAATTTGGAACAGCAGGCCCCAGCTGGCAGGGCTCTCTGTGATTCCCAGTTGCCCCACGTTAATGGCTGTTTGAGTAAACCTTTAGTGTTCCACATCCAAGAGCAGGATAACAATGCAGCTGAAGACTGGCTAAGCAGCCTGGTTTGAGAGCTGTGACTGGCCCAACTAACAAAGTCATTCTTTATCCATCTAGACATCAAGGACTGAGAAATTTGAGAATATGGATCGTTGTGATTATTTTTTGTCTCACCAGGCCCCATCATGCCATAGGAAATTTTAAAGAATTCCTCTGGGCTGTGACATGGGTTTTGGTCTTGCTTTTCACTCCCCACTTAAAGCCTGTGATTAATCAAAGAAAAGTACACACATACCATCTTCTGTGATAATTCTCCTTATATGACACATTTACTGCTGAGGAAAAGAAAACCTATCATTGTTTGCCATTCTTTAATCCTGTAATTGCTATGTTTATTCATGGTGCTGACTGAAATTCCACTGAATTTTACTTTCTTATGGGCTTTCTGATCTTGGGTCTAATTCTGCTATTCTATCAAACTTGCAGTTTATGCTGAGCCCTACCCTTTGGTGTCTGTCCATATGAGTTTTATGCCATACCTCTCTCTTCATTACCTCCTTTTTCCTTTTCTGGATAGGTCATCCTCTCCTTTTCCTCATTATTTCCCTTCTGTTGATTTTTCTAGCTTCTTTTCTAGAAAAGAAAGAAAAAAAGAGAGAGAAACAACTTATCATCCACTGCCTTGAAACTTGGTGTAATTTCTCTTTTTCCCACATCCTATGCCTGTCTTGTCTAAGATGATTGTAAACATCTCAGGTCACAGACTGCCTGCTCTGCAGCGGACACCACACTATAGAAAGCTTCTGTCTGAGCTAGTCTATGCACAGTATACATAAATACATTTTATTAATAATAATAACTATGCAAGTAATCCCATAGATTTTCATGATGGGACTGAATGTAATGGCTCAAAATAAGTATAGCAAAAAGGATTCCTTATGCTACATGGAATTAAGATGAATAGAAGATGTCTTTAAGTAGGCATTGCTAATATTTCTTAAAAAAAGCCTTATTTAACCAATTGCCTCTTTTAGTTTTTTAGATAAAAGATTTTTATTGGTTTATTCATACATTCATTTCTTCATTGTGGTAGGATGACAGTGACTACTTATCTCTGAGCTTGGTGGCCTCAGGGATAATCCAAGCCAGTAATAGGTTAAACATTGTGTAGAACAATTAAGCAGCAAACACATGCAAGTGTTTCTTTTCTAAAGTTTAGGTGATAGCTTGAGAGCAATATGCAGTATTTATATAGAATGTCTGTATATAGATGAGGACAGCTTTATAAGAAGTTGTCAGCCCCAGCCTCTACAGGTGTTCAAAAGGCGCTCATCCTGAGCAACAATGGGATAAAGCAGGAAGGTGTTTATTTGAAAGGGCAATAGTGGAATTCAGTTGTAGGGCTGACAGGAAACAGAGGATGTCTTTACAGGGTGAAACAAAAGGTACATTGGGGTGTTGAGGTGGGAAGGGGGGAGAGTCAAGGACAGTGCTCATCAATATTCCTGCAGAAAAAGAAAACAGGCACAAGGGAAGAAGGGACTAGCCAAGCTGAAACAATGACTGGAGAAGTGAAAAGTGAGAATAACTGCAAAAACTAAGCTAAGACATGAGCTAGATATGCTAAATGTGACTGAAGGGCAAACAAGAGATTGATTTAAGATGGACTGAGAAGCTTTCAGATGATGAGAGGAAGCAAAACCAAGTTTGAAGGGGATTTAGGGTAGAACCTAGCAAGAGATGAATATACATGACTGGAAGAACCTGTGAGGTGACTAGAGGCACTTCCACCAAAAGCTTTTTTTTTTTCTTTTTTTCTTTTTTTTTCCAATGGTAAAAGAGACAAGCCTATCTCTGTGGGTGCTAGGAATCAGAGCAGACTGAATGACTAAAGCTGTGAGCAAATGAAGGAGTGAGGGTTGGGGAAGATCAGGAAATGAAATGGGGTGAAGTTATCAGGGCAAGTGATGGAGTTACAGAAGACATGTTGATAAGCTTTTTGTTATTGCCACTTAGAGACTTGTAGACAGAGGAAGCATGAAGAGAATATTTTATCACTTTTATCTTTACAGAAAATGGTGAGATAACAAGTAGAGGAAAACAGACAGGAAGGCATGACAAGGGTTAAGCACCAGCAATGAAAAGCTCACTGGGATTACAAGCATGCAGATGAGCTGCAGAAGGAGAATTGTGTAGTTGTGAGAAGGCAGAAACGGAGGAGAGAGCAGGCATGTGGGAGAGGAAGTTGCCTTGATCAGTGGATTTCCGTCACATACTCTGCCCTGCAAGAACAAGCATGGGTGGAGCAAGCAGGAAAGGTAAGCTGGTGCTGTGGGTAGGTAAGAAAGTTCATGAAAAGAAATAAAGGAGAGAGCTCATGGTGAATGAAAGTTGTATATTTAGTTAGTGTGTAGTTAGGACATTGTCACTGGAACAAACCCATTTTTCTCTACTTAACCATCAAAATGCAAACAAAGCTAAAAGATGTGCAAGCTTCATTTTTAATCAATTTTACTAGTTGGTATTATTTGTTTTGCTTTTCTTTGCTTATTTTCATCATTCTGTTTTTCTTTACTTCCTTTTTAACAGTCTACAAGACATTAGTTTTTGCACCTTCTTGCACTATCAGAGGACAAAGCTCTGAAATAATATTTTTCCTTAAAATGTTACTTATCTGGTGTTGCTAGGATGTAAATGCACCTGCAGCCACAATCTTTTGGTGTTATATTCCATGCCAGCTAAAAATAAGTGAGACACCTAAGGCTTGTTAAACCGCTTAACAGATAAGATACAGCAGACAGGCTATGTCCTGAGAAGTGTTCAGAACCACAATGGTTTATTGCATTGTAATTATAATTTTCCTTTTTGTTTGTTTTGGTTTGGATTTTTGTTTTGGTTTGGTTTTTCTCTTTTGTTTTAGTTTAATTTTTTTGTTCTTGTTTTTGTTTCTTTTCCTAAAAGCACATCCCTGGCCTACAGAAGTTAGGGAAGATGCTTCAGACCAGCCTTTTAGTTATCAGAAATATTATTTCAAACACTATAAAGAAAATAAACACACTGATATTAACACATTATTTTAAAGTCAGGTTTATGGAATCCTAGGCTTTAGAGGAAACCTTTGAGATTCTACTACTGTAGAACAGCTTTGTTAAGGAGCACATAATGTTATTTTCTCTTAACATGTGGGGCTACTTTAAATTTGTGCTTCTGCATTATTAAACCATCGTGGGAAGTGCAGCAGGAGGAAACCCGGGTAATTGGCTGCAGCTCCAGATGCAGCCGCTCGCTCATTGGAGAGAGGAGGATTCTCCCAGTACTAAAATTAGACCATCTCCGCCCATCCGCAGAAATGCTTCTGGAAACAGCGAGCAGGAGAAATTGTGACACAGCCCGAGGAGCGGTGCTGGGCAGGGAGCTGCACAGGGCCCTGCTCCCAGCCAAACTGCAGCCTCAGGGTGCGCAGGAAGATGCTTTGGGATTTATGTCCCGGGTGGCTGGGGAAAAATCCACACAATAAAGGAACTGCAAGAGATTCACATTAACTGTGAAACACGGATATTAAATTCAACATTTCTTATGTAATAATAATTCTGAAGTGTTCATGCAGGCAGAGGAAGCCTTTGAACTGCTAAATTTAAGCAAGGGCTGTCAGACTTGTGCTCATTGACTTTGAAAAGAAAATTTGCTGAATTAACTCTGAACTAAACTAAAAAACTGGTGAACTCTTTCTATCAGTATTTCTTAAAAAATAAAATATGTTTATCCATTATCTCTGTGAAGTTGCAGTGTTTACTGTGTCTGCAAATGAAATATTGGATAAGGTATTTCTGTTAAAGAAACAATGCCACGTGCCTATGTTGGTGAAGGAAAACCTATATCCGAATTTGTCTTGTGCACTTGGAACCTGTACTTTTAAAGGTATATGAGTAACAACATCAGTTGTTTGGTTGCAAGGAAATTGGCTGCAAGGAAATAAGTGCATATTTTTATTTCTTGTTTCTGTATTTATATTATTCACATTACTCATGAAAAAGATTAAGGCAAAATGGGTTTCTCTTACAGCTTTTGCTGTAAATTTGCTATTTCTTCACCTAACCAGTGCACATAGTGTCAGCACCTCTGGCTCCAAATCCTTGGGGGTTTTTTGTCTTTTCTCCTTTGCCTCTACTTTCAGTCTGATACCATTAAAATTTAAAGCCTGCAAACCTGTGTTTTCGCTCTGCCCCTTTGTCAGTGTCACCTCAAGGGATTGAGTGCCATGTCCAGCTTTGGCTGAACTCAGCCACACGCCCCAGGTCTCCCAGCACTTCAAATCCCAGAGTTTTATGAGAACACGGTGAGGAGAGGGGACGAGGCGTAGGGTGAGAGAGGAGCAGGGCGGCGGAGTTATCGGGGCCGTTCAGCAGCCCACACCCCGATAGCGCGGGGCCAGCTGGCCCGCCTCCATCCCGGCAGCTCCGGTAAACAAGCACGGGAGGTGACACCGGGCCACCCCGGCCACTACGGGTCATGTTGGATGGACAGTGGATACTGGACAGCCAATTCCTACAAGGTGACTGCCCCCAGAGAGCCGGGGAAGTAAGGGATGTGCAGGGAGCAAACGCATTGTCACCACGGGGGTAAAATTTGGGGAAAATCGCCAGAGAATGCGGCTCCCTAGCTCTGCTTAATGCCCAGCTCATCGTGGTTTAATGCACAAAACGGTGAAGGTTTTGCTTCATCGCCGCATCTGCATCATTGTCTCCACATATTTTTGTCATAAACGTGAAATGGCACTGGGTAGCCGCTGTGATTCTCTCGCAGTGCTGAGAACCACCATTAGAGAGCTGTGGTTCGGGTCAGTGCTGCGGGTGTGCCGGGAGCTGCTCAGGCGCGTCCCCAGGAAACCTCCCCGCAAACACTCATAAATGACCTGGAAGGGCTGCTGTCTTTTCCTTTATTTTTTTTTTCATCCCGCCAATAAATCGCGCTACGTCGCTTCATGAGCTTTTGCTCTGAGCGCATGGCTCCCTCAGCAGTTCTGAGCGTGAGGTGAAACCGACACAAAGCTTTTATTGGGTGGGAGAAATGGGATTTTTGAATAAGCCCCGGAGATCACGTCACTCCCCCCTTTGCTCCCGCACCACACGCAGAGCCCATCCCAGGGCAGCCACGGCCGCCCCTTGAGTGCGCGGAGCCCGCGGCGCTCCCGGTCCGTGAGGAGCCCTCCGCCTCCGCCGCCAT